GTTCAAGACGTCTGCAGCTCGCGTGCTTTTCTTTGTCGCCGCTCGATACTAGTATTGTTTTTGGATTGTCCGGTTTGTTTAGGGGGTGCTCTTCTGATAGACCTTTGAGACTGCAGGTTGATTTCTTTCCAGAGTTGCCAACAAGGATTAGAATGGGTTTGTTCCTACGGAGAAGACAATCGCATCTTGTACAAGGAGCAGAGAGTAGCGGAGGTGGTCCCCTAGGTTACCATAGTCGATACTGTCGAATCTAGGGTTTCGAGGCATATGTTTGGTTTGCTACCAAAATTTACTAGGGAGGCTAAATTTTTTGTCACCCCTACGACTTCGCCGAAAACGTAATTTTATATGTGGTTGGCAACACAATTTCGTAACCAACCAAATTACACAACATTGTTTCGACCAATGCAAATCAGCAGCACGCCAAATCTCGACACTAATGTTTGGTTGGTGCCCAAACTTGCCCTGCCAAAACCTTGGCAACCTATGATACTCTTGCTCTTGGTTGGTTGCCTATGCAACCTTTGGCAACCCTCCTCACAAATGTTACCATTTTTTTTGGCCAACAGAGGGTCAAGGAATCTCTCTAACCGATCTTTTGTGGCTAACCAACGGTCGGCGAATCTTGGTAGGGCATTGCTTTGGCATGTACCAGACATGCCCCAAGGCAAGAATGCTCTCAGAGTCACACCAAATGTTCCTATTGTACACTACAAAATATCTAGATATTTAGTACACAGGACAGCACATTTGGTGCTAGTACTAATTGACTGGGCCTCCAGGTTGGCCAGTATGCACTGATTGCTCAGTAACAGCTGCAGTACAATGGACAGTTGAAGCACTATTACAACATGCCACACAACAACCACATGATAATAATACAACACATACATACACACAGTAGTAATTACAGTTGGTTACATACAACATATTATAACATAATATACAAAGGTATCTAGTGGGAAACTATAATTTACACAGCTTAATAGCCACAGGTTTCTGATGTTTGGAACTCGGCGAACGCGTGTTTTCCAGTGTGTGATCACGCCGTGTCGTCATGGGGGAGGAGGATGATTCTCTCGACGATGTGTCTGCAGGAAACAGAAAACATGTGTCGGTAAATGGTGCCGGGAAGCGCCACACTGCGTCTCATGGATGTCGGATGCTCAATCATATATGTTTATATAACGAAACAAGAGACCAACACGCCAGTTGCAGCTATCGCAAATATAAACAACGGCAGCAAGTGCTTAGCCTAGGCTACCCAAATACAATGTGTGAACTATCTGCAAATTAGCGCACCACACATTATCAGCAAACATAATAACCCACTGCTGCCGTGGTCACTAAAGGAAATAAGGGACAGCCAAACCACAGGACCATGATAAGATATCAATTTATCTAACATTTGACAATTCTGCATTTGACCGACATGAAAACCTTCTCTTAAAATATTTAAGCCTGCACTCTTTGCTAATATTGAACGAGGAACAGGAAGCTAAGTAAACAGCAGCATACCTTAAGCCATGGAAGGGAGTTTTGCCAGGTACATTTTACTTGAAAGTGTAAATCAAGAAGTCCTCCTTATTCTTAGCATTGAGTAATAGTGTTGATGAATTATCCATCATAAACAGCCTAAATACCAAAAATAAATAAACTCCTCCCTGCCCCGCCGATACTATCATAAGAGCACTAAGGAAATGCTTCTTTCCTTAACAGTTTCAAACTGCTATGAGTCTGAACGGATCAACTGCGGCACCGGGACCTTGTTAATTAAAGGCCTCAGAGTTTCCATAATATTAGCAAATGAGGGCCTCCGCCATGGCTCACTACAAAAAAGAGGCATATTAATATTCTAGTTAGCCTTATATGGCACTGAATCAGCTTAAGAGAGGGAAATATGAAGATGGAACACATACTTTGCCCAGCAGGATTCGATTAATGCAGCTACTTGAGGATTTAACTCTTTCGGAATTTCAAGTCTTCTTCCTTTAAAGCCAACAGCAGCAACTACCTGTAGAACATCATAGTGCAGCGTATAAAAGTTAAATACAGAGTTGATCAGGTGTTGATCTGTGGATAAGCAAAATATGTACTCAAAAAATTTAATAATTTCAATGAACAGTAGCATCGAGGCATCAATGCTGGAGCCAAATTAGATGATTACCTGGGCAGGATTCAGGTTACACCATGGTTGTTGCAATGTCATAAGTTCCCAAAGGATTACAGCGAAACTGTAGACATCAGACTTCTCATTGGATGGCTCATCTCGAAGCACTTCAGGTGCCATCCATTCAGGCTAACGTTTAAATGAAAAGATAAGCCAAGGAATGAATGGGCAAGATGAACTTGAGAAGAAATGGAAAACGAGCTTACTGTTCCTGCCAAAGATTTTGAGGACAAGTAGGTGTTGGCTTTTAGTCGCGAAAGCCCAAAGTCGCATACCTACAAACAGAAAATAGTTAAAAGGTTTAAACGAAGTGAAAGTACCTGGTCCTGATTTAATAACAGAGTGTGAATAAGAAAAACAAGTCGCTAATAAATCCTATATGAGACAAATACAATAGATAAAATTGTCATATAAACACTATCATTTCAGATGAAGCCTCTGGGGAGAATAATACCATGACTGAATATTCATGTACTATGTCAAATTTACAGCTATGTTAGCATTTCTTCAGGGAAATTAGCAGCTTTTTGCAATTGTTTTCTTTAAATATGTTTACTGACAAGGATGGCTAATGATGATTGGGTTCCTGGTATTGCTTTCACACAGGCTGCTGCAAGAAATATAACTGGAAGCTGCAAATGATGTGTGCTGTCGATAACTGAAGAAAATAAAAGAAGCAGAAAACTATACAAAATCATTCTTCTATTTTTTATTAGAAGCTGAACATCTTCTAGAACTAGAAAGTGTTGCACATATATTATTGTAAGTTTAACACCTACCAAATACTCTCCAAAACAAATAAGTTACCACTCAGGAAACAACAGTAACTCACGTGTCAAAACAAAATCAACATAAAAATGTGGACAGAATACTAGTATGAGAAAATTGACAGCCTCGTGCACAGTGACACAGATTCATATGGCCGCACTATTTCACATGATGTGTGTGCCTTCTACCTTCATAAAAGTACCAGAACATACAGTTTATTATCTAAGGCATTAGATTATATAGTGTATAAATCATACCTTCACAGTATACTTCTTGTCGACTAGAAGATTTGGAGATTTCAAATCACGGTGAACAATAGGAGGACTACGTCTATGTAGATAATTCATTCCCTTCGCCTGTAAAGCAGGCAGAGATAATTTAGATAGAATATGACTGCTACAAGTTTATACCCTGGGAGTATGACTGCTTCAAGTTTATAGCCTGGGAGTAGAGAAGACAATACCACATCGAATGCCATGTTCAAGCGGCGTCTCTCATCCAGAACCTCCCTTGCACCACTCCTATGCAAAAGTTTATACAAACTACCTCTGCAACGAAACAAGTGCATCACTTGCTGGAATCACTCAAGTGGGTGAAGTACTGTAGTACCAAATGAATAAGTGAAATGCATATTAATACCTTGACAAGTACTCCGTAACTATTGATAGGTTTGGGGGTTCAGTAACAGCACCCATGAATAGAACAATATTTGGATGCCTCAGACTTTTCATTATTGCAACCTGCCACATAGAAAAAGCATTTATAAGGTGATTAACATGGACAGGAATGCTTCATTAAGGCATAAACACCAACTGAATGAAGAACATAATCCCTGGTAAGTGACAGCGACATCCAGATATAGAACATGATCACTGATAAGTGACAACCATGTCCAGATACAGAACATGATCACTGATAAGTGATAACCACTCATAAGAATCATAACACTGACCAGCGACCACACAGCAAAGTCCAACATTTATAAGATCCACCAATGCCAAGATTTGTTCAACAAACCTCTCTCATAAATTCCTTGAAGCGATCTAGATGATAATCCTGCTCCATCAGTATCTTCACAGCAACATCCTGCAGTAACACAGAGTTCATTGCAATGTTGGTTCTAAAAACATTCAGCACAAAAGGCTCACTTATATTTACAACAAACTAGGACAAAAAAAAAGCTCAGATGAAGCATGAAGTTGTGCACTAATAAGAGTTCGATGAGAATACAGGGAAAAGTCTATCAGGATAAAGAATCCAAAGGAGAAACTTTTGCCCTCTTAGCAGTAACAAATTATCGATAAACCAGGCATATAAAAGGCATACCGATCCATGCCAGTCAGCACGATGAACTGTTCCGAAAGAACCTGGAAGAAAAAAGTAAGTTTAGAACAACTAAATTTCACCAAACTATTCTTTCAATATGGTTCATATAAAGATTTAACTTGCAAATATCCAACCATATCTCAAATATGATTTAGATGTTACGAGTCTTACGACTCCTAATGCAATGGTAACATAGATATATTAGCAAATAAAGAAAATAGATATTCCTTTTCTTCCTTTTGGAAAAGAACCACAGAAGGATAAACTTCAGTCTTATTTGCACAAGTGTACCTGCTCCAATCTTCTCCTTTAAAACCAGCTCACTCCATGGAATGATCAGATCATCCACAGCAAGTGACAGATCACTGACAGTACTCCGTAGATACTGATTCCCCTCAATCAACTGAAACTCTTTCTTTTTATCAGCTGTCAAATTGGACGGTGTCATAAGTGGCAAAACCTCTCGAGGAGCTTCTGGCAGAATAATGTCCGAGTTCGCAATTGCTTGCCCTACATCATCAGAATATACCGACTCAACACAGTATGCAAACATAATGTTCATGCTATATTTAAATATTTCAGATGCTCCAGCACAGGTTGCTGCAAAGTGAAGACCTTGGGGGTACATTATTTGGTGCTCAGTTGTATTCAATGCAACATGGTAAACAAAGAAGCCCCTATTTAATACTCCCTCCGTCCCAAAATATAAGAACGTTTTTAACACTAGCATAGTGTCAAAAACGTTCTTATATTCTGGGACAGAGGGAGTAGTCAAAATTCAAAAGAAAAGAAACAATATGTTTCAAGATTTAACAAGCCCAAGAGATTGTCATCAGCTGTTACCTTTCACCGGCACCCAGCTGTTGGCAATCCCGTCCCCTGCATCATGTTTCTTCGAATACATTTGGTCTACAGCAACTGCAGCACCATTAGAAGCACCTGAAAATGAAAGATTGGCCTCTGTCACACCCCTGCCAAACAAAACCATCATAGATGGAAGACGACAAGTTTGGCATACCAACTACTTATTTGGTGGACAATCATATATGCTATATGTAATGAAGTCCTAATGACACATGAAGAATGAAATTACAGCAAGTTTCGCAGATATAACCTGTGGATGCATCACTGAACAATAGATTGAGCGAGTGACAGTCTGAGAAGTATTGCTTGGCAACTGAGCTGAAATTTGAAGTGATCTCTAATGACCTAAATTTTGGTGGACGGAGAGGTGATGGAACCGACAGCGAGTAGGGACCATTGACGAAAGAATCAGGATCAGATAATTGGCCTGGAGCCCCAAATAAGTCAACCAGATATTCCCTGTCAAAGGAAATAACAAAAGTCAGCACATAGCTATCCACCAAACATATCAAAATAACAGGAAAATAAGGCAAATATTCTATTCAAACAAGCACAGAGTATTCTAGTCCGCGGTTTTTGTAAACAAGTCGGACTTTGGGTAATTTGTCGCAGTACCTCCCAGCAAGTCAAGTACTGATATCTGAAATGTACATCCAATATTAAACAGATCCTAGTCCATGGATATACTCCCTCCGTTCACAAATATAATATGTTTTGGATATTTCAATATGGACTACATACGGACTGAAATGAGTGAACAAACACACTAAAATGTGTCCATATACATCCGATTCAGAAAAAAGATAGAACATCTTATATTTGTGAACAGAGGAAGTACCTTTCAAGCCCAAAACGCACGACACAGGAGGAAGCGTCTTCAGCTTTACAGTATTTACAGCCCTTGACTAATCTGCATGGTATGTTGACTTTATCTGCTAACATCTGCAAATGTATAAGCTTCAGTATGTAATGACTTAAGATAGGAGCAACCAAAAGATGTAATCCCTCCTTCTCTTAATATAAGACGTTTTTCCAGTTCAAATCATTAAGGGACAGAGGTACTAACGAAAAAAGTTATAATTCCTATCTAACCAAGCTACACATTTACTTGTGTGTGAACTCTCAATTATGATGGAAGAGAAACGAAATTCTTTGCTGAAATCTGTTGCAGTTGTTGTTGGTAGGAGCAACAGTTACAAGACGAACAAACAGGTAAGTTTCTTAAAAACAGCAAACGTACTTTAAAAAGCAGAGAGCGGTGCTTGCAGAGACCAATCGGCAGCTTCCCCAGATGAAGCACAATAGAGCCTGCACTTGATTTGATTGCCTCGCTGCTCTCTTTCCAGCGTGGAAGCAAGTTCTCTTCGTTGGAGGTTGTACCCCTTTGTGAATGAAGAACATAAAAGAGAAGTTCAGCAAACCACAGAACCCGGTTCAAATGAAAAGACTTAGGGAAGCGACCACTCACCCCATTCTGGAAGACACAAGTTTGGCTAGCTGATTTATGACATCTTTCATGTCTGAGGAACTGGACAGAAAGCTGGACGCGTAGTTCTCCAGCATACCAAGATCGAAATCAGCTCTCCTGTCGACGAGGACCACCTGGATGGAAGAATCGTCGGGGCGGACAGACTTGAGCGACTCCACGGAGGGTATGCGGTTCTCCTCGTGCACGTCGGTGCACATCGACCACACAAAGGGGTCCATCCCTTGGATCAAGTAGAACCCATCCGGTATCGTGTTGCTGTATGATAACGAGCCGTTTACCTGGGAAGTGAGATGCCGTGTTAAGCTAGAGTAATCACAGTATAAGCACAATGCAAAACATGAAGGGCCACTCTAATTCGGCAATATGGACGTTTGATAGAGCACACAAAATTCTAAATTATACTCCCTCCGTCCCAAAATAAGTGTCTCAACCTTAGTACAAAGTTGAGACACTTATTTTGGGACGGAGGGAGTACTAACAATTATCAACTTTATGCTCTGAAGAGAACTGAATAAGGTCGCTCTGATGCAGCTGTATGGTCTACCTTGCAGAGCTAACGGCATCGTAATTACATCCATTGTCAGTACATCATATAATCCTCACAGGCTCAACATAGCTGCTGGATGTGATGTGATGTAACGAGAGAGTAAATTCACTATGATCAAGGGTTAATGAGAACCCTTGGGGACACAATAGGTGGCCAAGTAGAATTCGTTGTAAGAAATGGTTGGCACTAGTTGTTGAACTAGGTGGAGCAATTGAATCCAGCAATCCACCAAAGATGTTGGCTTGGAGAAAAGTATCTAGTAGCATGATTGGAGATCGTACCCAGAAGCGGTGGGAGAGGGCCTCGGCGGTGGGGGAGGGGGGAGCGAGCGGGAAGGCCCTGCCGCTGCCGCTGCCGCCCCCGCCGCCGCCCCCCATCTTGGACCCCCCGGAGTCGCCGGGGTCGAGGAACCCGGGGTCGGCCGCGCAGGCGGCGTCGGCGCAGAGGCGGAGCGCGAGGGCGAGCTGCAGCTGGTACGTCTCCTCCGCCTGCTGCGCCCAGCTCTTGCAGGGGGAGGGCGTGCCCCCTCCCCCTCCCCCTCCCGCCGCGGCGGCCGCCGGGGGCAGGTGGAACGGGTAGTCGCTGGAGGCCGAGACGGAGCTCCCGGCGCCGTAGCTGCTCCCGCCGCTGGACTGGCGCTGCAGCACGGCCGGGGATGCCCCGGCGGCCGCCGCGTCGTCCGGGAACTGGGACAGCAGCGAGTAGCTCGTGCGCCGGCCCCCGCCGGCGGCCGGCAGCTCCATGATCGATCCCCTACGCGAGCCCTACGCGGCCGGGGCAGTTGGACGAACCGCGGCGCGAATCGATCGATCGGGGGCCGGAGGGGCTCGCCGCCGGTCGGTGCGGGTCACGTGCTCCGTCGCCGTCGCCGTCGCCGTCTGCCTTGGACCGAGTGTGTGTGTGTGGCTTTAGCAGAATCCAGGCCTTCAGAGAGCAGCCAGCTCTCAAGAAGTCAAGAGTAATTTGACACGATTGTGCAGCTGACATGTGGGACCAGAGGCCACCTTGGGTCAACTACACAAAGTGTGTCATTCCTATCAAAGTGCCAATAAAGGTGTGCAATTTCTTCAACATTTTCACCCCTCGGCTGGTCAGAACCCGGAAAGAACAAGACAATATGATCCAATACAGAAGAACTACGCCCAACCTCATTCTCGAGACGCCAACTTTGTAGGCCAAAGACCATGGCAATGTCCGAGCCACCCTTCTCGTTGAGATGACGCAGGCCTCGCTCTACAGCGATCCTGCAACGAAAGCAGGGGGGCAGGGCAAAACAGTTGATGGTTTTCTAGTTCTTTTCAGGATTTTGTGGAAAATCAAACCAAGTGGGCACTCAAAACTTGCAATGCAGAGTAATAAGTCAAACCATGGTTGGTTCTTGCTGCACTTCACCAAATCAAACATCTATCTATGTTTAAGAAAGCACGGTGATGAACTTGGAATAATACAATGGTACGTTGTCACGACATGATATTATTTACCTATTGTTTTCATGACGCATATCCTCGTTAAACAACGATCACATTTATAACTATCTTTTGTTGGACCGGAAGGTGGTAGTATATTCCAAGCTTGTCAGTGCATGGTGCACAATCTCTAGGTTGGATTGAGCAATTATCATACTCAAATGCTGAAACAGTTCTAACGTTGCAAACAGCCCAATGCCTCTAATATCCCACCATTCATCAACCATCATTAGTCGTCATCTGTTCTTATACATGTATGCGTATAAAATGAACCTGTTTTGTTGTAATCCCATATGTATTCATCGTACAATCTTGCTCAGTGATGTCAGCAATGGCATTCCGGATAGTCAGGCCTATGGGCCCTAACTCATGACTCCCCTTAACCCCCTCTTTTGTCCTTGTACCATCTGATGCCCTTTTATATCTGATTTAAATAGTGGAGTTTATCTGTCTTTTTCCCAATGAGTGATCTTGGGTTATCGAACCCACGAGAGAATGTGCACTATGACAAAGGCTCTGACAAGTCTTTACTAAAGAATTAAATTCTAGTTTTTCAACTGGACCTTTAACTGCCTCAGGGGTATATAAAACACTACTAGTAAAACATACATGGGTATGAAGTCTTACTCTCACAACCTTATATTTGTGCTCGGGGTCTTAATGATGTTAATTCCGTGTTCTGGAAAACAACCCTTATGATGTGCTTGCGATGCTTAGATGCAGGGAATATGTCCAAAGTACGTCTTGACCGGTACGCACCCTACATCAAAAGTCATTTGAATCGTCCCACCGATGGCCCTTACCGTCGCCCGAGGTTATCTCGGTTATTAAGAATAAATATTCAGACACATGCATTGGGCGTTTAATGATTAAACCCCGTTCGTTCGCAAGAAGATACCTACAGTATATGCAATTACGCCATGCATAAGCATGGTCATAAAAACTGTAATTTAACTAACACACAATTATAAGTTATTCACCATGCATGCGATGTTATCTTTTATCGAGAGTTGCCACTCGTGAAATTATGAATCATGTTCCATTCACGTTAATTGCTTTCAACCTCGGCGAATTCACTTTAATTCTCACTTCAAATTTGATCTTTATTTTTCTGGGTACATTAATCAATTCCTACTACTAGTTGAATAATCTTTGTAACTAGCAAGGCTAGTGAGACCGTCAGTCTCACTGGCTTCGTTGGGCACCAAGACAAGTATTGTAGCTATGTGTAGGTACCGATAATTGCTTGTTTTTCAAGCTTTTACTAGTTTGGTAAACTTTAAGGTCGCCCACATGAGGAAAATTGCTACTTGCTCATCACCACCACAATCATGTCAGCATGTTCGTCGTTATTGATGTCTAAATCCGACGAATCAATTAACTCCTTGAACATGTAGTCATCAACCTCATTGTAGTCAAACTCTTCGTCCAACGAATACATCATTTGCCCAAAAATGAGCAAAAGAATATAGAAAATCCACTTCAACATTTCGTCAAACATATGTCGGGCTAGTTGTATGGCCAACAGAGCAGGATGTACCGGGGCGTAGTCTGGGGCAGTGAAGGATGCCCGGAGAGACGGGAGAAGTGGCGGCGGCGATGTGTGTTGTGGATAGTGGCGGGGCTAGGGTGGAGACACCGCCGAAGCTATGCAAAGGGTGAAGCGGTGGAAAGGGTGGGTCGGTCGAGGTTGGGGATGGTTTGCATGGATTTGGGGTTGGTCCCTCCGGTCAACGTGGCAGCCGCGTCTGGGCGTGTCTGGGTTGCCCATACCCACATCATATGTGAGCTAGATTTGAGGGGTGCCGGACAACCCGAACATATCGGCTAAGTTTGGGGGTCTAATCGGGTGACTGTTTTGGTCCGGACAGTACTGTTTGGTCTGTCCACCGGGCGTTTGGGAGGGAAGTGGGGTACAATGAGTAGAGAGCGAAGCTCCATTTCGTAAAGCATTTTTGGTTTTAAAGTATCTACAACCACAATGTCCAAATTTGAACCCCTATATTCCATGGACAATGCCCATCACCTCTCGTTTCTCCACGTCCGTGGCCATCCTCCTCATATCCGAACCCCAAATCCATGCAACCCAATGCAACATGATCAAAAGAGTACGTAGATAAATTCAACATAGCCTAGATCATAGATCATACACAGCAAGTTTAATTACAAAAACTAGACATGAGATAGCAAGTTAACGAAAGATTGGACACACCAAGTTCATCGAAACACCACAATAGATAAAAGATGGAGCGAGGGGGCGTTAGCCCTCGCCGGTTCCTTCCCCTCGGGGTCTTCGGAGCGGCAATAGTACTCCTCGACATAGGCGTCGACGGCCGAAGGGGCGTCATCGTCGTGGTGACAGATATATGGGCTGGGTTTGAGGCGTGGCAAACAACCCGAACATTCGGACCAGTATGAAGGGTTTGATCGGTTGCGGGTTCTGGGTCAATGACCGGTGGGGCCCAAACACAGAACCCGACGTGGCGGTCAAACCCTTGACTGACCTGACCGGACCGGACCGGACACCGTCTGGTCTGCTGCGCGCGGCTGCCGTCGTCGACCTGTAGCGTAGCGTAGCTGCGCCCGTGGCCGCCTTAAATGCCCCGAGCTGCCGACCGCGACCCGCCCCGGCCGGAGCGGCCCGGCATCCACCGGTAGGTGCATGCATGCACGCCGTCTCCGATGGAGCTGGCTGCTCCGTTCATTAATGGCGGCCGGCCGATCGAGGCGGGCAGAGTAGATCAGTGGCGTAAAGCGCTCCCTGCCAAACGCAACGCCTCCGTGAGCGTGCGACCGCCAGCCTCGTGAGCCGCGCTGCCTGCTCCCCGCAGTAATGGCGGCCGATCGACGTAGGAGTAGGCCGGCAGTCAACCACGATCGGCCGCCCAAACACACTACTGGAATCTATGCCATTTGGAAGCTGCTTAGCGGCACATGTCGGATGATGCCGATGCTGATCTCCTTGTCGATCTGGTAAAAAAATCAAAAATGTGTGAGGTCGTTGTTGATTCAATCGGAGCCATGAAAGTCAAATCGCCGTATGATTTGATGAACTATCGACGTCGGGAAAGGGACGGGATCTTTGTCAACTGTTTTGTTTTGTGTGTTCGGCAGAGGGAGAATCACGGCGACCGGAGGTCGGAGTACATACATACATACAGCTAAGCTAGTAATAACAACTTGGATGGATGGAATATCTCGGGCGGGGCGGTCACCGGCGGTAGCACTGCATGTGGAGGAAGAAGCCGGCGGGGGGCTGGCCCTGGCTGGCCAGCTCCTCGTCCATCCACACCCGCCCGCCGTCCGCCGGCCCGGGCCCGCGCGCCTTCACCATGAACTGCGCCGCGCCGAGCCCCCCGGCGAACCACCAGTCGTGCACGTCCCACATCACCTCCACCACGGCGCCGTCGCCCAGCACGGCCGTGCGGTTGCCGCGGAAGTTCCACCCCACGCGCCGCGCCTCCACGATGCTCTTCCCGTCCACGCTCACCGCCACCTCCCCGTCCACGTGCTCGCCCGACGAGGAGGACGTCCTCCGCCGGTCGCCGCGGCAGCGCACCGTCACCTCGTGCTCCGCCCCGCCGTCCCGGAACCGGCACCGCGTGCTGTGCGCCACCGACGCCGCCTCCGCGGACGACGGCGCGCGGAGCTGCTCGCGCCGGCTCACCAGGGCCGCGAAGGGGCGCGGCGACGCGGCGCCGAAGCGGCGGGACAGCTCCTCCCGCGCGGCCCCGCGGCCGAGGAGCAGCGCGAGCTCCGCGTCGGCCACCACGGCGAGGTGGTACTCCCCGCCGCAGGGCTCCGGCGAGGCCGCCGCGTACTTGGCCTCCGACGTGTCCCAGTGGACGGCCACCGCCGTGCCGCCCTCCGTGACGAAGGCCCGGCTCCCGCGCCTCTTGTGCATCAGGTGCACGACCCGCTGCTGCGCGGTAGCCGTGGCCGCGGGCTTCACCGCCGACCTCCGCGGGGTTGCGGACGACGGGGGGAGCGTCGGCTTCGAGTTGCTGGAGGCCTCGGCCTGGACTTCCTCGACGGCGACGGAGAGCCCGGTGGCCCCGGCGGCAGCGGCGTCGGCGACGGGGGTGCTGGTGACCACGGAGCGGCGGGTCCAGGTGATGGTGACGAGCAGGTCCTTGCGCGAGGTGAGCGCGAGCCGGTAGACGCAGGCGGTGGCGGCCTGGAGCGAGCGGTCGAGGCGGTCGGCGGAGGAGCCCGGCTCGGCGACGGCGAGGGTGGTGACCGCGCCGTCGCGGAAGCAGGAGAAGTCCTTCCGCATG